TACAAAATATATTTTTTAACTGTATTGTAAAGTGTTTCTCAGAAAAACCGTGTAAAATCCGATCTAAATGGGAACGGTTCTTAAATATTCCAGATATTCAACGGGAAATGGTCTGGATAAGAAAGGTAAAAAACACTGTAGAGAAAAAGCTTGCAAATTTTAATTTCAAAATGATGCATTGTACAATAACCACTCGTTCACGTCTGTTTAAATGGAAACTCTCAACGACTTCTGTTTATTCTGTAACCCGAATACTAAAGAAAATGATTATCACCTCTCTTTTGGGGTTGCGTAAATGCAAAGTATGTCTGGAAGGAAATAGACATAATTATTAAACCAGAGTTCGGATATACTGCAACTTTAATGACATTGTTCTAGGTTCTGCAAACATTTTTATGTTAACCATTTTACACAATTGCTTGTTTTTGCCTATACAAAGCTGCCGTTCTCAAAGCAGTGGGTAAAATAAAATCATTAAAAGCACTGCTCGAATCTGAATTGTATGTGAGAACGACACTATTTAGAAAACTGTTAATAATTAATAAATATTAATCTACCACTTATATTTCCATAATAATGATGTAATTGTAATTAAGATTTTAAAAGTATGGGATATTTATTATACATTAGTTATACGGTACGTAATAAAAAGCATATTTATAGAATGGGTATTTAATAAAATATCAATGAATTACGTGTGTGCCTGGCAACAGCAATACTTAGAATGCATGTGAGTCATTCCATATGAATCCAACACACATTTTTTGCCCTACCCCCTTCAAATCGCCCAATATTTTGCATGTTGGGGGTTCTACCTGAGATAACCCCACAGTGAAATTTTTGGCTCCGTACCAGCATTTTCTGATGAGTTATAGCAATTTGCAATTTTCATGAGATTTGGCTAAAAAACTCACCTTCTGACAGACTCAACGTATTGGAAAAAATCTGGTACCGTTGGATAGATAAGAAGATTCTCTTTTTAATGATATGCAACTCGATGATGTCCAAACTAGTGAGAATTAATAGGTCAAGTCACGTGACCTTTGACCCAAAATATCACAAAAGCATATATCTCGATTTTTGGAAAATTCACGCCTCAGTTAGGACACTTAGCCCACATAATGCCCCTAAAGCTTCATTGTGGGCAAATGAAATATATTAGCTCTAGACCACATTTTGTGCATAGGTATTGATAGTTTCATTGAGTTTCCAGGAAATCTGCTGACAGATTCTATGAAACTGGCACCATAGTATAGTGAAAATCAGAGGCCCCGTGACCATTTTTCTGGGACCAAGGTTTCACTGCTGATTTAGCATCACTATGGTATAAATAAGATATTGAGTGAGGGAGAACCTTCAGAATAAGGGCAGAACATATTTTTTTGGCGGCCATTTTCAAAATGGCCGCCAAAATTATGATATTGACTCATAACTTCACTTATATCCAATGAAAAAGAGCAAATTTGGTGTCTACCTATATGTTATTATGGTCAGTGAAGCCAATGAGACAGTTTTCGAAAACGTAAAATGGCAGCCATATTGAAATTCAAGATGGCCGCCTTAAAAATGGTAAAAAAAATATTTTCAGTATATATTTCACATTTCCTCTACATAGAAACTTACAATAAATATAGTTTCAAAAAGCTAGGATGGTAGTCATTTTGAAATTCAAGATGGCCGTCACAAATATCCTCAAAAATCGAATATTTTAGTTTGTAATTCCACTTCTCTCATGAAAAATGCTAAATTTGGTTTTTAAGCATATGTTATTGGGCTCTTTGAGTCCAATATACATGGTTTCATATATCTGAGATGGCAGCTATTTTTGGAATTCCAATGGCCGCCATGAAAAAAACATCGAAAATTGAATATTTTGGCATGTAACTCCACTTCCATTAGTTGAAAAACGCTAAATTTGGTGTCAAATTATATGGTTTTGTGTCAACTGAGTTCAATAAACATGATTTCAAAAAGCTATGATGGCAGCCATTTTGAAATTCAAGATGGCTGCCATGAAAATTGTCAAAAATCAATATGTAAGTAGACAGAACATGTGATTAGACACGAATTTGTTGTCATTTCGGCTACGAAAAAATTAAACAATTAACAAAATATTAATTTCCGAAAATTTTCGTGGTGGCCATCTTCACTTTTAAAATGGCTGCCATCTTATCTTCTTGGAAATCATGTTTATTGAACTCAGTTGACACAATAGCATATAATTTGACACAAAAGTTAGCATTTATCATCAAATAGAAGTGGAATTACGTCCAGAATATTCATTTTTTGATGGTTTTTATGGCGGCAATCTTGAAAATCAAAATGGCTGTTATTCTAGATTTATGAAACCATGCATATGTTTAAACAGCACATTTAGCAGTTTTTTCTTGCATACTAAAATATTCGATTTTTTCAGGATATTTATGGCGGCCATCTTGAATTTTAAAATGACTACCATCCTACCTTTTTTAAACTATGTTTATTGTATTCAGAGAGCCCAAAATCATATGATTAGATCCAAATTTACCGTTTTCCTTTAAAGATATGTGGAATTATACTGAAATATTATTTTTTAGATCATTTTTAAGGCGGCCATCTTGAGTTTCAATATGGCTGCCATTTTACGCTTTCGAAACCTGTCTTATTAGCTTCACTGACCATAATAACATATAGTTAGACACCAGATTTGCCCCTTTTCCAGGATATAAGTGAAGTTATGAGTCAATATCATAATTTTGGTGGCAATTTTGAAAATGGCCGCCAAAAAATATGTTTCGCCCTTTTCTGGAGGTTCTCCCTCGCTCAATTTTTTTTTATTTATACCCTAGTGATGCTAAATCAGCAGTGAAACCTTGGTCCCAGAAAAATGGTCACGGGCCCCTGATTTTCACTATACTATGGTGCCAGTTATTTCTTACACCAGTGTCGGAGAAAGACATTATTGACATTACTGACTTATTCAAATCTAACAAAAGTCCAGGCGCCGATGATATTCATTCAGATGTTATTAAAAAAGTTTCTCCATTTATATGTAAACCATTGTGTCACATTTTTAACATTTCATTTCAGTCTGGTAAGTTTCCAAGTTCTCTAAAAATTGCAAAAATTGTACCTATTTAAAAAAATAATGATCCCCACCAATTCACCAATTGTAGACCCATAGCACTACTCCCTTGTTTTTCAAAAATTCTCAAAAAATTAATTTATAATAGATTATTAGCATTTTTTTCTAAGTATCAAATTTTACCCACAAATCAATACGGATTCAGGAAAGCACATGGTACAGATCTTGCAGTGCTCCACATGTACGAAAAATTAACCTCTTTACTTGCAAAAAAACATCACACAATCGGTATTTTCTTGGATTTATCTAAGGCCTTTGACACCATAGATCATGATATTTTACTCTCAAAATTATTTAATTATGGTGTCAGAGGCCTTCCATTACAATTAATAAAAGATTATCTTACAGACAGACAACAATTTACCTCTATTAATTCATTTGATTCTAACTTATTACCTATAACCTGCAGTACACATGTACCTGTCTCTTATACACATCTAGATGTGTATAAGAGACAGGTTCTATCTTGATCATATTATTGTTATCTTTTAAAGTTAATGAATCAAAACAATTGAATTATTATAATAGGTTCTTATATCTTGTTCATTTATTATGTTCATTGTGTGAAACAAATAAACTGAAACTGAAACTGAGTTTCATAGAATCTGTCAGCAGATTTTCTGGATACTCAGTGAAACTATCAATACCTAGGCACAAAATGTAGTGCAGAGCTACTATATTTCATTTGCCCACAATGAAACTTTAGGGGCATCATGTGGGCTAAGTGTCCTAACTGAGGTGTGAATTTTCCCAAAAATCGAGAAATATACTTTTGTGATATTTTGGGTCAAAAGTCAAGGTCACGTGACTTGACTATATAATTCTCACTAGTCCGGACATCATCGAGATGCATATCATTGGAAAGAGAGAGGAGAGAATCTTCTTCTCTATCCAACGGTACCAGAATTTCCCCAATACGTTGAGTTTCAAGAAAGATATGAGTAGTTGTCTGTCAGAAGGTGAGTTTTTTAGCCAAATTTCATGAAAATTTCAAATTGCTCTAACTCATCAGAAAATACTGGCGCGGAGCTAAAAATTTCACTGTGGGGTTATCTCGGGTAGAACCCCCAACATGCAAAATATTGATTTGAAGGGGGTCGGGCAAAAAAGTGTGTTGGAGTCATAATTTACGCGCCGTACGTTCATTTCCACGCGCACAGCACGTAATGAAGCTGGAAATTACGTTTTGTTACATATTTTGGGTTCCTGACACTGTATTACATACTAAAATTTATTTTCTTTTATTGGCATGAGTTACAAAAACAATATACAATATCATAAAAGAAAAAAAAATGAGAATGATAACATGCAATGAAAGAAGGATCGGTCCCGAAAAGAGAAGTCTTGAGTCGGGCAAGCCTGAAAAAAACAATATGAAAACTCGTTGGACAATAATAAATGAATTAATAAATACTGAAAAAAGTAACACACAAAAAAAAAAATAAATAAAAAAATAAACAAATAGATAAATGCATAAATCTTTGATCATAGCGGGACACATGGAGAAACGACCGATAATGTAAATCAAAGGCCTAGTTAATAATTTAAAATCAAGTGTTTTTTAAGCTTTGAGAAAAAATAAATTAGAAGAAACATAATTTAAGATTGTGGATGGTAAGCTGTTGATGAAAGTGGGACCCGAGTATCTAATATTGTGCTGAAAGTGATACAGGGACACAACTATGTGTACATCCCCGGCTCAGTCCCGGCTAGTGCCTCGCTATGGCCCGGGTCGGGGGGGGGGGGGCCCACATGACTACAATTGACAAGTGCATAACTCCAAAGTACAAAATGGATGCCTAAAATTTCTTTAAGTGTTTTATCTTCTATGTCGCCAGTTTTTGAGAACGTATCACATGAAAAGGTTGCTAGCTTAATTTTTTCGTATTTATTTAATAAAACATGCATTACTGTATTAAATTCAGCTAAAGATATCAAAAAAACATATTTTTTGATAGATTTTGGGTAAGAAAATTAACATAATGTGTTGTCATATTCATCATTCCATAGATAATTTTAGTACCTTCCGTATGATACCTAATACAATGTATATTCAAATCGAATATTCCAGTGACGGACTAGCTTCAAAATACCATTTCTGAGTAAAAACGTGTACAATTTTTTGGTCATATTTGCACCTAAATTCAAAATTCAGCGTGGCAACATATCCCATTCTGTGTGAGCCAAGAGCTGGTGATGAGAGTTCACCTTGTTGCCAGCTTGTAACAAATGTCGCCTATGAAAAAAACAATGAACACTTTCAATCCGAAGGCCACACGTCTATTATGTTAACAATAAAAATAGAAAAACATTTAAACTCTACTTTTAAAACATTTATTATGAATATTATGTATAAATTTAAAACCACAGTATTTTATTAAAATTAAAAATGTTCATAATTATTTACATTAATTTACAAGACTGCAAATAAGAAGCACATATTTATAATACAGTATTACTAAATTATAATTGATTAATGCATAAAATTTACAAAATATCTTGATTTCAAATAGGAAATATATTTCTATGACAAAACATGAACTTTAATCATAATAGAGTGTAATAATAAAAACAAAACAAAAATACAAATAGGAAAAATGTCCTAAAATATAAAATCAAATTTTAACATTCTTTTAAAATAACATACTGTACTGGTACATACTGTAAATGACCAAAAAAGCATTACAGGATTTATTTAACTTTTAGAAGTTTTGGTGCACAACATATACTGTATACCATCAAACTTGTTGCAATGTTAGTATTTAGTCAGCGAAAAATCAGTTGTTTATTAAAGCTGATGATACAAAAATTTCATAACATGTTGGTTAATATGCATTCTCTAATAATATTCACACACACAGAGCAAAAGCAACACCTAGCAAAAAAATAAAACAAAATCATCTTTGATGTTGCACATTTCATCAGCAACGCCAGTTCTATCGAGGTCTTACAACATTTTATGGCAGTGATGGTAAGACTTCTTAAATATTGCTATTATTGGATAAAGAGGGCAGACTTTCATTTGACCTACTGTATTCAACTGTCAATAACAGATTTACTTCATTTATTTATCAAATGTTAACACTTTTCTTTGGTTGCCATTCTAAACTTCGCCTTAAATTAGCTTTTTAGAGTGTAGAACACCTATTTCTAAACAAAAAACACCTTGTTCTCAATTTTTGATAATATTCTCATTCATTATGTTTATTACAATCTTATAAAACTAAATAGTTACCCACAGTATTAAAAATTGATTTCGTTGATATTGCATTGAGGTAGAAGTTCAGGTTTAGTGTTACCATCATTCTTGTATTAATTAATATTTACACACTATACATTATCTGTGATTGGGATTAAATGCAGTTACGTATATAGGGGATGCCACCTCCCTCAAAACACTTATCTCCCCACCCCCTCCATATATTGCTCCCCTACTGAAAATATACAAAGAAAAGAAAATTATCCTCAAATCAACCTTATTTAGTTGGGTAGTTTCCCCTCCCCTAATCATTGAACACACCCCCCCACCCCCAATCTATTACAAGACAACATACGTTACTGGGTAAATAACAAAGCCACATCTGATTTTTATATTTACTGTAGATGTCAATTCATGACAGAAAATTGTTCATAAAACATGATGGTTTCAACACTAAACAGTACCCATGTAAAATTAATTTACCCTATCCAGTTAAATGCAAAATGCAATCAAATTGAATTTTCTCAAGCATATGTGTTGGGTAGGCAAGTTTCTATTAACATTTATGTTACAATTTATAAAAATGATCACTGTAGTCCAAATCCTAAGCCATTTATAAGTGATGAAACAGTGAGGCCTTTTCCATTCAAGCGAGTTTTGATTGTTTACAATATTATATACAGTAAGAGGTTCAGAGACCTACACCCATGGCAGCATAAATCAAAGTTATCTTAGCTTCATTTGCAACTAATCAAGTGCCGTAAAATGTAACTTCATCAATAAAACTGTCATTTGTCTTATTCCAATTGTTTATAGTTTTCTTTTGTTTGCCATTCTTATCCATTTTTCTTTATTTACAATTTGCACACCACTTATACAAAAAAATGTTCATTTTGTATTACACATATTTGTTGTCAATGATTTTTAATATAAACATCTTGTTTGTAACAGTGCACTCTGAACGTAGTTTTGTTACACAGTAATGTCTATGACCACCGAGAGGGCATAGATACAAAAATTACTTACAGTATATTGTGTTAACTTGTGGTCTAAGCAATGAATATTATGAATCAGTTTAATTTTTGTAAAACTATTGGTCTCACTCTTTACTCATATTGTCATACATTTTAAATGATGATATAATTGTTATAACAGCCAAGGAATGCTTTGACCACAGTATTATCAATTTAGTTAGTTGATACTACATGTAAGTACACTAAAAATTTCACCACCATGGTACAGTTAAGTGCTACCATTATCTTCATACTTTATTATTATTTTAGTACTTTGTTACCTCTGATTTAAATGAGTTCACCAGCAATTCTACATCAATAGACACAATCAAGTGATCAAAGTTACAATACCAATTTGGCAAAAAATTGTAAATAGCCATATATAGCTATGCTCAGAATATTTTTAAAAAAATGCATGGCTCCGCAGTAAGGCACATCAATGACATCATAAGTAATGTTAGTTAAAATGTAGTAAACTACTCTAAATTCCTTAGAAATTGAACTACATACAGTATTAAGAGTTTAGAGTAACTTGTAGGTTTTACCAAAATATGAATACACAGTAATTTACATTATAAAATCCTTATGTAATTATTATTATAGCTGATATCAAAATACATTAAAACATTATGAATGCTAACAAAGAATTAAATATTTAAAAACATAAGAAAATATTAAGGAAATAATTGAGATCTTGGTAGAATAACATTTTGGTAGATATCTTTTCCTTGATAACCATCAGCAAAAGTCAGTGTTAAGTTCTTGGAAGTTGCTGTGATGTAAGCAAACCCCCCAACTGGTTCAGAATAGTGAAATTTGAGTGAGTTGGTTGGAACATTGTCCATGTGAGCAACAGATGGGTCAACAAAGTTTCCAGATCCAATTACAAAATACTTCACAGTTGAATTGTCTTCTTTAAGATACTGAAAAAAAAAAAGTTAATGTTATTACTGTTACATTGTAAAAAAAATAGGCTCCCAGCGGGAGCGTGCGTCTACTGCCTTATACAGGAGTTTTTGTTTTTTTTAATTTTATCTTATGTTCTTCAATAGGCAGATGTGTGTATTATTGTAGTGTATCTGGATTTTTTAGGAAATTTTCTTTTATAAAAATATTCTGTATACAGTAGGCCTACTACTATATTACACTAAAAACATTTTAAAATGTTGTTATGTCGTTGATCACAAAGAGTGCTACCATGTTCTAGAGAGCGTCCTTCAAATGACGTTAAGAGGCGTTTGTGGCGAACACGTGCTGCGTCTCTATAACGCGTGTGCGAGTTTCGAACGCAATTTTGTTCGAGTTCCGAACGCTATTCGATTGTCAATAGAGCGCCCCCTACCTCGTGGTAGTAGTACCCATCATGCCTAAACCTGATTTACCCTTTTCCGCCATCTTTAATTGCTACATCATGACATAGTGTCTACATCCTCGTTGGGGGCAGTAGACACAACCAGACTTTACACTGGTAGTTCGTGGAAGATACACATACATGATTATTTGCAAATAACGTATGTTTGTTGTGTTATACTGCCGTCAGTACAGAAGATGGCAAGTTTTGGGCAACCCCTTGAATATATATAGTGTACCAAAGTCGTACTAGGCACAACAATAAAAAAAAAAACTGTCAGCGACGAGTTTACTTGCCCCTTCCCCACAGAATTTATTACACACTATTTCTTAATGTTTTTCGATGAATCAACTTGCTTGTCATTTGAATTTTCATTATTTGGTTTAATTAAGTGACTTTTGATTCTGTTTTTTTGTACAGTAGTTGTAATATTTTTGCCAAGGAAAATATTTGACTTTGAATTTGTATTAAACAAATTTAATGAATTGTATATTTTGTATGATTGAATTACATCCATTAATAATCAATTTGCTGTTTGACAACTATAAAATTTAATATATTTTTATATAATTGTATACCATTTTTTTTTAAATTAGTAATTTCCTAATTATTTATTGTAGGTATACTTTTGATTGTATTGTTTTTTGCTTTTTTCGTGTCTGTTTTCTGTTTGGTATGATAGGCTTATTTTTATATGTAAAGTTTTATATGCTTATATTTTTATACGTAAACTCAAGAAATTTTCTACTTTTTGAGTGTTTTATACCAAATAAAAAATAAAATTAAAAAATTAAAATAATCTCAAATTTCAATGAAAATCACCTTGAACAAAATGCTTTCAGGAAGTACTACTCAAAAGTTACAGGCCTTCATCGTGTAATAGATGATTGGCTAGAATCCATTAATGACCGCAAAATGCTTTCTCGATATTGCAAAGTGTTTTGACACAATAAATCATACAGTACTAATAAATTACTATTCAGAGAAAAAATTATGGATGTAAAAGAAACAAGTTATTTGTGGGTCCAAAATTACTTGGCTGGAAGGAAGCAAGTCACAATGAGCAATTTTATTAGCGGTGGGTAGGGTCCTTATAGATCGGGGCCCCTGGAGCTCGGGGCCCAGGTTCAATAAACCTGCGGTAGTTCATTGAGTATGTTATGTGTTCTACAATTTTGTCATTTTCATGGCATAAAAGATTGTACTTTGCGCTATTTACTACCCTTTTTACACTAGCAAAGGTGAGAATATAAATGTGTTAATTCCAGAATGATGATAATAATAATAATAAAATGTGGCGTGGTCAAGCAGAATTAGTCGCTTGTCGGAAATTCGGATTTTGAGATAATATATTATTATTAATTAGCAAGATATTGTCTTTACAATGGTGAAAGTTTTTGCAATCCGACATTTTTTTATATTAGTTACAGAAGTTTAAAATAGTCTACATTCGTGAGAAACCCAAAACATTTTTTTGAGCACTTCACATTCTAAGTTTACCAATCACTGAGACGCTGACAGCGTGAAGACGTTCCTTGTTCCATGGCATAGCTGAATACCCAACCTAGCAACAGGGGGGCAAGATTACTGTATACAATTAAGATTGTACAAGAGTACAATTTAGCCCAATCAATATACAATAACTACATTTTTCTAACAACACATTAAGTTTCGTTAAGAGCCTAACAAAGGTTTGGCAGTTATGGCAGTTATTTGAGTTTGAATTCAGCCTATAAAATCGGTGATATATTTTGTATGTCGATCAGCAATACTCGATAGGCAGTCTATACTATACTAAACCAAGGCCTAACCACGGGAAGTTGGCATTGCTAAAGGTTTTGAAATTACACAATATTGTCAAACCATTGTTCACTGATGCTTTGGTACTTATAAAATGGATGAAAATTGTACAAAAATAAGAACCACTAGGCCTTGTATGGCTCCAATGACGCTGTTTTGATTTAACTGTGGTATTGTGGGATAAAATCATAAATGCGCGCATGCTCAGTATCAGGTCATTATGTTACTGACCAATCGCAGAAATTATTTCAGCATCAACGTCAAGGAATAACAGGATTGTTTTACACTACTTAAAATCGATGTAATTGGTTAAAATTAAAAATGTATCATGAAAATGAACCAACAACATGAAAGCTTACAGTATACAATACCATATAGGTACCAAATATTGAGCAGTTTGCTTTCAAAATGGAGACGTGCAACTAAACGGTAAAAATAGACCATTTTTTAGACATTTTACAGTGAGACACGTCCCTCTGTAAATTGTATAAAACTGTTTACAGTTGAAAATTGAAAAAAAATTCAATGATTCTCAGATGCCTTATTGTTAATTTTAGGTGATAAAATAAATTTTGATTTTCTTTGAAATTTTCAACGTATAAAGCTTTACTGTAGGCCTGAATTTCTCCAGCTGACAATCTCTAACAAACGAATGATTTGGCTTGACCACGCCACTATAGAGCTTAATGACAACAAAGCCTAGTGCTTCACATTATTACCACTGGTCATTGGATCAAGCATATAACTTAAAACCATGAATTGAAGCCCAATGGGCTTAATCTCGAAATGAAGCCATCTCGAATGGAAGCCGCCTCTTTAGTTTGCAAAATTAGTCTCGAAAAGAAGCCATCTCACTGTACATGAATTTCCAAAAAACCAAAATAAATTTATTAAAAACAAGCTTGATACAGTAGTTTAGGTGATTTAATGCCAGTTAAATACACTCTATGATACAGACTGATGTTACAGTGGCCTTATTTATTCTTTTATAGTACAAATTCACAAAATTTACAGTATTCAATTTGAAAAGAAGTCCCCTAATAGTAGCCTCGAAAAGAATCCCATCTCGAAAAAAAAAGCCCATCCAAAGTTCACAAACAAAAGAAGCCCAGGGCTTCAATTCCGAGGTTTTACGGTATTATAATGAACACTTCCCTGGGGAGAATTTCATAATGTTGCAGCTGTAATCAGCGCATTTTGTGTTTTCTGGGTGTAGAGAGACACGGTAAAGTGCCTAGCCTAAGGATGCAAGGAATGCAGTTCAATTAACATTGAATGAAACCACCTGGGTCGATCTTGAGTTCACCCAATTTACATTGGCAATGAACACAGGTTTAAATACACATTCAATCTTGTAATTACTGAATATGTAAAAGAATTGATTTCACCTAAGAAAAATATAAAATATTTAAAAATAACAAACCTTGGCTTACAAAAGATCTAAGAGAAGAATTATCTAGGAAATATTTTACATCAAAGTTTGAGTGTAATGTAATGGAAAAGAAAAGGATCCAAAAAAACAACAAGAAAATTAGAAGAATGTAAAAAGAAATAATGAGACAAAATTTAACATACAATTAAGTGTAAGGATACCTGTCAGGCCTGGAATGAGGTTAGAAAGATATTGAAAAGAAAAATAATGTATCTGACCACAGCTTTGAACCCAATGATAATACCATTTATGCTAGATTCGATAAGCATGATTTCAGATATGAAAGAACGGCCCTAACTTAAAGCTTTAAAAATGAAACTGACGTTACAGATGTTTAAAAAATCAATGTTGAAGATGCTAAACAGTACTGTATATGAAAAGAGTAAATATTAATAAAGCTAAAGGGTCCAGATGGTATCTCAGGGCATCTGTTTAGATCATGTGCAAATAAGCTTTCACCTGTAGCATGTCAGATATTTCAATGTGCACTAAATTCAGGGATACTGCCCGATCTCTGGAAGGTTTCTGAGATAATTCCAGTTTCCAAACAGCCTAACCCTAAAATTATTAGACCAGTTGCATTAATGTCTATTTTGTTAAAGATTTTTGAGTAGATAATTAGAGAACAACATCGAATGTAATGATGATGATATGGATGATAAACAGTTGGCCTATCAGAAAAATAGAGGGGTGGATGACACCAAATGTGGTTTCACATTTAAATATTAAAACGAAGAGCTTATACTCGGGGTGTCTTTATAGACTACTCATCTGCATTAAACTTGATGCAGCCCCATATTCTAATAAATAAAATGCTTGAATAGAAGGTTAACCCTTAATTCGCATTATGGGTAGGTGATATTCTCACTAACCGGTTTACAGTATGTCAGGGTTGGTAAACCTATCTCGGAGAGAAAGATAATTAACATAGATGCTCCCAGGGCTGTTGCCTCTCGCCAGGTTTGTTTACCATTTACACTAGGACTGTCGATCACTAAGTAGGAATTGTAATATAATTAAATACGCAGATGACATGGATTGGCCTTTTTGGAAATTCTGATGATCATATGTATAGGATTGAATTTCAAAAATTAATGACATGGTGAATGATAACTACCTTAAGATAACTCTAAGAAAACTAAGGAAATTATATGGGATTTTAGGAAGAACCCAAATGGGAAAGTTCATCTGGTTGTCAACAATTAGCTTTGAGAAAAATACAGCTGAGATTGTAAAGAAAGGAAATCAAAGTTACACTTTCTCAGAAAACTAAACAAGTTTAACATTAGTCAGTGTGCTCTTAAATTTTTTTATGAAACCTTTATTCAATTGGTCTTAATACAGCAGTCATCTCTTTTATTGCTTGGTTCGGTAATTTAAATAAGATGTACAAGAAGCGTCTGATAAGGATAACTAAGATAGCAGCAAACATAATTGGTTGTTCTGTCAATGATTTAGGTCGTCTGTATGAGAAGAAAGTCTTACATAAACTAAAGAAAATCATAGAAGATAAAAATCAATATAATAATAATAAAAATTATGAAATTGAAATTGAATAATAAATGTAATTGTATTTATGTTTTTATAATTTATGCCTGTATTACTTGAATTTTGTAAGGGGGTGTTTTTAGATGTTTATATTAATGATTATGACAATTTTAATAATAATAATTATAATAATAACAATTGATATAACAATAATTTTGGCAATACTTTTTATATGTTTTTATAACTATTTTAATCAAAGTCCTGTCCAAGGAAGAAGATTTATATAAAGTTTGATTTGATTTGATTTAAGATTTTTACCTGCAAGTTATGGTCATGTCCACTAAAATAAGCATTTACTCTATACTTGTTAAGAAGTGGTCTTAACCTTGTTACCAGACATTCTGTGGGTCCATGCTCAGCAACAGACCATACAGGAAAGTGGCCAGCAACTATAACATACTCAAATCTAAAAAGAAATCCAACAATATGTCAGTGCTAACAGGACATACTGTATTGCAGTAACTGCTGCTACTTTGGGATCTTATTCAAAACTAGTCACTAAGCTCGGTAGTCTAGTGGTTATGGTGCCAGGCTAGTTATCTGGAGGTCGTGGGTTCGTATTCCCATCCGAATCACTTCAAGTTTTTCGCAAGTATTTCAGGTAGGGCAAAACATCACTCTTACAGTATTATAATAATAATAATAATAAATGTAATATTTAATAATAACAAAGTTTACACCTAAGAACATATAACATGAAACACATTGTATAAATCTGTGAAATCTTAAAAGAAATATTGAACACCATAGTGTCAACTACAATAATGAAAGCCTAAAAAAATCACCATATATCTGGGAGGGGTCGCATAGTGAGCTTACCTGGAATAAACACATTCATGTTTTTTTCCAAGAAAATTTCAGAACCACTCACCCACACATGGGGTATATATTTGGGCCTTTCTTCTAGTAGAGGCACTAAAATTATGCTCCATAATTCTGTTCAATAAATTTCACAGAATTATACAAAGTGTGTGTTCTAGTGTACACTGGGGTTATGTTTAATACTGTATGGTTAATAGGCCTTATTTGAGAAGACTCATTCCATCACCAGGATCATTAAGGCCGGTTGGCCACTAAACTTGTCAAGCGAAAGCGTCGAGCGTCACGCGGCAAGCAAAGAGAATTGCGCAAAGTTCACAAGAGTTGACTTTCGGTAAAGAATGTCTCGCTTCCAAATGATTCGCTTGCCTGTTCCCACTGCTGACCGCGTGCAAAAACTTGAAATGGCGGCCGTGGCAACAGAGAAGTGATTTTGTTATCGCGTTGATAGACGGAGGAAAAGGGCTGTGAGACGAATCAGATAAATCCTCAGGATTAACATTCCCTATATAACTCTATAATGAATCAAAAGAGTAAATATAAGCACAGTTTTTTTAGTTCATATTTTTTCAAGGCCTAGAGCTAGGCCTCCTAAGGGAAGATAGTAGGCCTAGCCTACCCTACTGTAGGTCTCAGGTGTAGCAGGGTATCAGAGGCCTAGGCTGCACAGGCCTAATACTGGTAGAAAGAGGAAATAACTCAACTCGTCTCTGCAAATCATTTTCCACGCATTGTCACATATTTTCTTTGCTCCCTTCTTGTCACAGACCTAAGCAAGGGTAGCCTGTTCCACAGAGTTTGCATGAAACGGACTCGTCGGTCATCGTTCGCACTTCTGTAGGCCTACATTGTTTCGACAATGTTCGTGACTTTATTGTTGACCTTTGACATTAATTGAATCTAAGCCTTGCGATTGGTCCATCGGCTGCGAATTCGCTCGCGAACTGAAAAAGTTGGTCTTTGAATCAACTCTTGTGAATTCGCAGACGAAGCCTCCATGACAACTGCGCGCACCGCGTCGAAGTTCAAATATTGGGCGTTCGCGTGTTCGACTACAAATTCGTTTGCATGTTCATATTGGAAACGCCAGTCGCGTCTTCGATTCAGCTGCACGCGGCACATTTCGACGCGAAATTCGCTTGATCGCGTTCAGTGGTAACCGGCCTTTATGGCTATAGGTTCAGTGTTGGTGCCAGTGGTAGAAGAGGGAGAATTTTCCCCCATTGCCTGATTCCACAATGACGTCGTCAGATCGAAAATATTAATTTGCTTTTAATCAAATTGGAATATAGGGGGTAGGTAATTCTTGTTCATCATTCTACTATTTTAATATTCTTTTTACAATATACTATATATATCTATAATGGGTGACCCTTCCAGCAGCTGATATTCAGAGCCAATTTTGTTTCTCTTTAAAAAAAAAAATGGTAATCCATCTATTATTAACAATTACCAATTAATAATCTCTATTTCACCTTTTGGTTCCAATATTCTAGAAAAAAGTATACCGTAATTTTTGCCTTAAAATGTATACAGGGATTGGCAAATCAAAATATGATTATTTGGACAGGCAAATTAATACCTTTGGTCTGACAGGGTTTGCAAAGATGGCATCAGTTCCAAGTCTGGCAATAATTGAGAGCACTTACTTTTCTGAGCTTTGTAATTTTTGTTCAATCCAGGCCCATTGCTCCTCAGCAGCCAAGTAGTCCTCAGGTCCCTCCGGTGCTGCTCCAACCGTGAACATATCTGTGTTTCCACACAAGGTCACCGTGTCAATCATTAGTGTCAAAATTGATGAATTTGAATTTGGAATGTTAAATGTCAGAGTATAGAAAAGGGATGGGAAATTCCTAAACATTCAAAAGAAAAAAAAGAAAAGAACAAACATAAATGATATTATCCTATCATATAATACAACAGGATTGATAATATTACTGGTGATAATTCATTTAAATACTCTAAATCATTTGCTAACAGAGTTATTAATGATTAGAATGGTCTTTCAACAAAAGTTGTTTGTGCTGTCAGTATTAAGGTCGGTCTAGGCTGGCTTGATGAGAGTTGGTCTGGCCACCATCTTAAATTTAACCCATTTTGGGACTTGCCATGCCAAAACCATTAACTTTTTGATATATTCATATTCTCCACTTAAAATCATAGGTCAATTACTGGACTTGAATAAATACTGCCAAAGTTATGAGTAACATTATTTACCTTTTCTCTGAACTGATATACATACTCCCGCATTCTTATGCTAATGTAATTACTCAGCTTAACAGTTAGCGACAGTATTCTGCTTTTGGGATGGCAAGCCTCATACAGTATGTAACAGAGGAATTTTCCAAGTTGGTACAAGAGGGACAAATCAGCCGAGTTCTCCAAATCCTATGATTCAAGGTAATTCAAGTGATACAAAGCGCCGGTGAAACCAAACTTTGTGCAACCTTCTCCACTTACTTGTGCACTGCACACTGACTGACACATGCAAAACTACAGTACATCCTACAGTATAACTGTATTTGGGTTCTTGGTAGAGACAAAAAGTAGGCAAGATAAAAAGCCCGACCCTCAAGGTTGGAAGCCTGAGATCGAAAGCCAACCGCTTTGCTAGTGTTTATAATGAAAAGATGTGTGTCATATGTCTTACCATCTTGGGGAAATGTTTGTGTATGCAACTTGTCCAGAGATGTTACCATAATGGTCATGGTTACCGCCGACCAAGTACCATGGTATATTAAGTGATTCAGCGGTATACACATTTTCAAATGTTTCCTAAATTACAAAAAAACATGGATCAAATAAAAGAATTAGTATACTGTATATGGTTATAATTGATTTGCAGATTTTTTTAAAGAGGCAAAATCATTGTATATTTTTTTGCATAGCTACAGCACTGTAGGTAGTTATCCAGAAACCACAATTGACATTTTTTTAAATGTTATTTTTTTAAAACTACGCCTAAAATATTCGCATCTTGGGATAAACATAGTGTGAGCCACCCTTGAATTACCACATGTTATTACACAAGTCTAATGTAACAGGATTTGATATTTATACAGTATTATGATGAGAACATTGATGCAAGAAAGCTAATTAAATCATGTATTATTCATTGTGATCATTACAACTGTCTGCATTCATTCATAAAGCATTCTCTTGTTCAATAAAATGTCCATTATACAGGCAACAATTCAAAACATTAAAATACACAGTACATTACAAGTTCATACACTAAAACAAATCCGGATATAATTCAAGACACAAAACTAGTACAAAATTTTCATCACAAAATAATATTAATATTAAATAACAATGATTGTAATAACTTCAAATGTAATGTACAATGCTTGATGCCCAATGACTACCAAATTGGAAATGGTTATTCATTCATTATCCCACAAGGCAGTGAGTTTGAGTTTTAAGGTTAGGGTCAATCCAGCTTCACCTCGATTTTCGTAAAATTTGTTGGAAGAATATCCATGATGTAACCAATAATGTATATTTTTATCAGTGACGATGTTCATGAGAGTAATAATGGTACATGAATGATAATGATAAACACAAAACTGAAAGTGATAAGGAGGGGGAAGGAGAAGAATATTTTGGCATGACTCATTAAAACAAAACCTGTAATAATTTAGTTACTGCCAATTTACAAAAAAAAAAAAAAATTGTATTGAATATTTAGGTTCAAATAAAAGTTAATATTCTGTATGTTTAATATTTATTTATGATCTGATATTAAGACAATGGCCAAGTTAGAGATTGGCAGAAGAGAGTATGGAATGAAAATAAACGTGATTTGCACGCTTTCCACAAAGACTATCCAAATGAAACAGTCAAACGGTTGTATTATGCAACAATAACCTTTATTTCGATTGCTATACCGAACGAAAAACTACATAGCAACAAACCACCGATCGGAGGCAAAACTCTCCAAAAATAGGTGGCAGCATCACAAGAATCGTCAACAATGTGATGCAAATATAACTAAACAGCAAAATGAATGAGGCTGTGTGTGAATGATGTACAGATAGAACAGGTTAAAACGTTCTGTTAATTGTAGTACTGTGAAGTACTTAAGATATACAGAGAGTGCCATGTTAAGAAATGTTGCGCCTCAGCTCAAACCATGGTGATCCTGATGTGGTCTTTCTCAGGCTGGTGCAAGGAATTCTCTGACCAGGGGTCCAAGCTCCCTGACGAGGTCCACAAACCCCCTTCCATCTTGGGGAAGCCTACTGTAGGTCCCTGGATGGGGAAATAATTAAATTTGTCAAGTAATTTTTTTTTAATTTAAAAATTATAAAATTTTGTTAATTATGGGATTCTTTAATTACAAAAGACAATTTTATAGAAAACCATGCAAGTTGAAAGTTCCCCTGCCAGAGGTACCAGCCCCCTGTCGAGAAAGAGCTGGCGCCACTACTGCAACCCATATGATAGCAATAGTACTATACAACACCTCGCACATACGGCTGCATTAAACAAGTTTTTAATCCCTAAAATTTGACAGTAAAGGCATGCTTGAATTGTACTTTCGGTGCTTGCGATTTCATTTTTCCTATGCCCCCACACCACCACAACCGCCCCTGCTAGTTCTATAAAAGTCCCTCCCTGGGTCCAATTTAATACAAAGTCCTGAAACTGTGATTCTCAAGCAATGGATGGTGGCCCACAATTGAATGGTTGTCACCCAAAAAGTTTGAGAACTGCCAAAAAAATGCATGGTTTGCTTTGCAGTTTGAAGGACTTGCCTGAAATGCAAAATTCTTATAAATAAATAACAGTGCTTTCCACCAGAAATCTGGCAATAAATTATAATACAAGAAAACCTAAATAGTTACCTTGAACCGGCTATCATGTTCATCCTTAACACCAGTGTAGTAGAAATTATCACCAAGGGCTAGAATAAATTCTGATTTAAAACTAGTTGCAATATTGGCCATAACCTTTGAGACTGAGACTTCTATTGGTGTGTTATATGGAGGATATGGTAAACCACCCCAATCTGCTAAAACTAGGAAGCGAAGAGAATCTTCAGGATACATCTTATTCCATGACCATACTGAAACCAATAAAAATGTATCATAAACCAGATTATCCCAACTCCCTGCATAAACTATTCCCACTACAAAATATGAACACTTTAGTAGGCTTCATATTATACAGAATAATTTTGTACTTACGAATTACACCTAGAAATAGCAAAGAAGTACATAGAAATGGTTCTTAGATGGCTCTCAATCTTTTTCAGACTGGGGTCAAGATTCATTGCACTAAAAATGTTGCGGTCAGGGGTAGGTAGTTGGCGATGCTGGCCTGAGAGTCAACCATCACCTCACAAGCGTTAACGACATTCCAATATACAAAAGTGCCACTTTTTGTGCTGTCATGCCTTGCCTATAAACAGCGTTCTGTCATGCCTAAAATTTTGGAGGCCAAAAAGGTCTGATGGACCGATTTTGCTAAAATTGGTCCCCCTTGGATATAAAATCTCTCCGCCTGACTGCTGCATAGGCTACGATTGCTCCTCTCATGGAAGTATGCTTCTCTCACATCTGAGTAGACATATTACAATGAAAACAATTAATGGCAATGGCAGTCTTACAAATATACATTTAAGACAATGTTTAACAAACAATATAAGCATACAATTACTAAAAGTAAATCTGAACTAAAATGAAAAATATTGTTATTCATAAATCTGTAATTATGTGTTAAATAATTAATGGAGGATTCACAAAGTCACATTCATATTCACATGCGTCATGAGTGGATATCCTGTACGCTTAAAATCAAGACGATACTGGGTTTGATCTACATATACAGTAAATCAATATAGCCGTTAACACCGTTATTTGGACCTGTTCAACAATGAAACCTTCGTGGTCTAGTGGTTATGACGCTCGCCCTGTCAGCGAGAGGTCGCAGGTTCGAATCCCGTCTAAGGCATTTTATTACACAATTACTTTTTTTATAGGACTTTATTCATTAAAAAGTTACTGGGTAGCCTACGATGTTTCATCATGTCCTTATTAAACACTGTATATGTACCTTTGATGATTTATATTGTATTTGTCTCTTATACACATCT